TGCCCAGTTCCTGGGGGCTGGCATGTGATGACCCTCTGTTGTCTGGTCTGTTCACCAAGGGAGAACTCATGGCCACCCTGTGAGGAGCAAGTGTGCTGGCGCCGTGGTACTCATTTGGTGTGTCTGTCACATGTCGGTAATGCTCACAGTAGTTCAAACGCTGAATGATACTCTTTCACACTTACACATTCAGCGTAGCGTAAACATTCAGGCTCCAAGGGAAACAACACCTTATGTGCCTCGTCGTGTTGCATCACAGCCTTCCCTGCGAGTGTTGACCGTGAACCACACCCACCGGTGGCTCTGAGGTCGGCTGGTCTGTCTGTACTCCGGCAGATGCATAGGAGACACTTGTGGAAGCCCTGCCTGTTAGCTGCTGGGAACAACCCCAAGCCCCCTGAGCGGGAGGGGGATCCATAGCATGGGATGCATTCTATTCAGTGAGAGGCCTGCACCCCCGAAGCAGAGTACGTAGGCAGCCTATTACAGAGCATCCCATAGAGAGCGCACTGTTAGGGCACAATTGCAAAGACGTTTACACACTGACACACATGTAAAGAATCAAAATATTCCTGAGAATGCTACACGCCCGGTTTGGGCTGAGGTTCCGTCTCCTGACGAGTTGAGGGCTGAGCATGCAGGAGTTTCCGTTGTATCTGTAATGTCTTATCTCTTAAGCTACGTGATGATTCATGAGTGTTACCTTGTTTCCCGGTCGGTTTTGTGTGCATGATGGTTCACGGAGGCCCGTGGGCACGGAGAGCTGGTAGAAGTGACAGCTTATCCACAGAGGAACAGTAGTGTGACCGACAACAGACCTGTCGTCACAGTGGATGCCAGGAGACTGGAACCGCCTTTGAGACGCTGAAGGGACAATGCCTGTCCAGCCTGTTCTCTGGCCACTAGTAGGCACAACGAGGGGGTGCGGGTACCCCTGCAGGAATTTTTGTTTTCAAAATAAAGAGAGACCACAGAGACTTGACAGTCAATGGAGGGAAACGGGATTCGCCCAAAAGCCACCCTCTCCTGGAGGCTTCAGCTTCAGCCGCCTCTCCGTGAAGGGACCGGAGGACAGTCGAGCCTTGGGAGACGCCTCCATTGAGTGACTGCAGGAGGGGTGAGGAGCAGCTTTCTCTGGTCCGAGAGGAGCGGCACTTTGACCTTGGGCGAGATTGTGGGACAGCGTCCTTCCCCCCCCCCCTTATTTTTTTATTTCAAATTTTTAAAATTGAAATGGGTAGTTTACAGAGCAGATACAGTATATACTCGTGTATAAGCCAAGTTTTTCAGCACATTTTTAATGCAGTTTTTATGGTAAAATTAGATGCCTTGGCTGATATTCAGATCGGTTTATATGCGAGTGTATACGGTAATCAATTTTTTTAAATCATTTTATTGGGGCCTCACACAATTCTTAACACAATCCTTAAATACATCCATTGTGTAAAGCACATTTGTACATTTATTACCTCATCATTCTCAAAACATTTGCTCTCCACTTAAGCCCCTGGCATCTGCTCCTCATTTTTCCCCCTCCCTCTCTGTGCCCGCCCCCCACCATGAGCCCTTGATAATTTATAAATTATTATTTTGTCATATCTTACACTGTCCGACGTCTCCCCTCACCCACTCTTCTGTTGTCCATCCCCCAGGGAGGAGGTTATATGTAGATCCTTGTAATCAGTTCCCCCTTTTCCACTCTACCCTCCCGGTATCGCCACTCACACCACTAGTCCTGAAGGGATCATCTGCCTTGGATTCCCTGTGTTTCCAGTTCCTATCGGTACCAGTGCACATCCTCTGGTCTAGCTGGATTTGTAAGGTAGAATTGGGATCATGATATGGGGGTGGGGGAGAAGCATTTAAGAACTAGAGGAAAGTTGTATGTTTCATTGTTGCTACACAGCACCCTGACTGGCTCGTCTCCCTGCGACCCTTCTGTAAGGGGATGTCCAGTTGCCTACAGATGGGCTTTGGGTCCCCGCTCCACACTCCCCCTCACTCACAATGATAGGATTCGTTGTTCTTTGATGTCTGGTCTTTATCGTCTCGTGGGTGACTGAGTTGCTGTCAGGTCACACTTGGCAAAGTCCCTGTTTGTCAGGTTTTCTGCATATTTGTCCTGATATTGGTCCTCTGAGCTGGTGGAGAAGCAGTGTGCAATGAATTCCAAGTCCCGTTCGTGGTAAAACCTCGGCAAGCTGGAATTGAGGGGTTCATCCCAGGAAAGAGGAGGAGCCCCACACTCAGTGGAAGCATCCCTCCTGGGGAGGAGGAGGCAAGGGCTGGCTTGCCGCATTTCTGTGTGGCTCACCAGGTTCTGGGGTAGCACGCGGAGACGAGGGAGAAGAAGTCTTGGTTCTGAGCGGTGTCACAGAATAAGAAAATGAATCGTGTCTACGTAACATCATTATTTCTATAGAAAATCTGCAGATGCACTATTGGCGCTAAAGAGAATTCGGCCAGGGAGTGTGCAGAACAGTAGACTGTGCGCAGAGGGCCCTGGTGGGATAGAGGCGGACAGGCTGCTCTGCGGGAGAAAGATGCGGCTTCGTGCTTGTGTGCCGATGTCCAGGCTCCGGAACCCGCAGGGGCTGCCCGGCTCTGCCCTGTAAGGTCGTGTGGATCAGAAGGGACTCGATGGCGGTGAGGGTTTGTTTTCTTATTAATTTATTGATAATAGCTGTTGTGAGAAAAAGAAATTCCACTCACATTTCTTCATGTGGGTCCGAGTGACTGTCTAATATTCCCGCATGCCACCTGATGCATTACTTGCAGGACAGGTCTACCAGTTACGGGTTCTCTGTGTTTACGAGAAGGTCTTAATTCTGCCCTCTGTTGTGGAGGCTCGCTTGGCCACTCACAGAATTCCTGGTTGACGCTCTTTCCGCACTTTGATCTGCCATCTCGCTGCCCCTGACTTCAGTAGCCTTGTTGAGGATTCCTTGAAAGTGGGAGTTGCAAAAAAAAAATAATAAAAGAAAATGAGAGTTGCTTCTCCTTAGTTGTGGGTTTTTTTATAATATCAAGAGTTTTTTTTTAATCATTTTATTAGGGGTTCATACAACTCTTATCACAATCCAGACATACATCAATTGTGTAAAGCGCATTTGTACATTCATTGCCCTCATCATTCTTTTTTTTTTAATCAATTTATTAGGGGCTCATACAACTCTTATCACAACCCATACACACATCAGTTGTGTAAAGCGCATTTGTACATTCATTGCCCTCATCATTCTCAAAA